CTAAGAAATATGTAAATATTATCCGAGCATTATACGGCAAGCTGTCATCGCCCTTTAATATCTCCAGCGGTGTGAGACAAGGATGCCCGCTGTCACCATTCCTCTTCAACTTCGCTATTGACGATGTCATGCAAATTGCGTTCACAGGACACGACTTAGCTGTGGATCTACTCCCAGGAGAACGACTTATTGAGTTGGAGTATGCTGATGATATTGCCCTCATCTGTGACAGCTCCCAGACGTGCCAGGCGGCACTGGACAGATTGGCACTGGCTGTCCGTCAATTCAGGCTTTTCTTTGAACCATAGAAGTGCAAAACGTTCCTCTAAGCTTGGTCTGGACTGCCTCCTTCGCTAACCCTTGGTGAGGATCAGCTAGAAGTCGTTCAAAAATTCGACTACCTGGGAAGTTGTATCAGCGCCCCTGGGATGGAAGACGAGATCACGAACCGTATAGCAAAAGCTCTAAGTGCTTTTGCTAGCCTTCGCCAATTATGGCGGTGGCGCGACTTAATTCCCACCCTGAAGGGTAGAATGTACAATGCAGCGGTACGTTTGACCCTACTGTACGGTTGTGAAACCTGGTCCCTTAGATCAGCGGACATAAAAAGGCTAGTTACGTTCGATCATCGGTGCCTTCGCAATTTAGCTCACATCTGGTGGGAACACCGAGTGTGTTCGATCCCTTGTTTACAGCACAAGAAAAGGAAATGAACCGCTCAGCGCCGTTATTTCACGCACCAGGCTCCGATGGTTCGGCCACGTGTTACGCATGCTAGCCCACCGACTCCCGCGACGTGCGTTGGTTGCGCGCCGGGTGTGTGAATGGAAGAGGAGAGGTAGCCATGCGATGACTTGGTCGAATGAAGGTCCTCACTTCGAAGCTGACCTCAGTTGGAGCGTCTCGGCTCCCTGGTTGGAGTCCGAAAGATGATGAACACGCTTGGTTGGATACACTTGTTGATATGGCTAGGAGCCGACCTCAGTGGCGTTCGTGCTGTGAGTTTCATCGTCCCACCCCACCCCTCTTAGCCTCCTCCTCCAACCACGATCACATTATTTAACATTTTATAATTTTGCATAGGAAATTACTTTTTTGGTGCATAGTAGCCGGCAGATAGCTTACAGGAACGAGACCTATCCGTTACCGGTAGCTCAGCTGGCCTGCACATGTAGCATCTTATTCCCTTCTTTTCTTTTAGGTATTGTGGCACAGTAGCTGAGGCGTTTCCCACCTCTAGCTAACGTGTATAGTGTGAGTGTGTGTGTGCGTGTGTGTGAGTGAACCTGAGGAGTTGGAAAAGCATGCGAGTGTTGCCAGAGAGGGCAGCGGCCGGCATCTCTAAAGCACACGCAGACCACCATGCCTCGCGATCCCTGCGTAGGCTTTGCTTGAGCAGCCGATTGGCAGAACGGCGCCGCTCGTTGCGATCTGATTCTGCCGAAATATCTCATCGGCGGTCAAACAGCTCCAGAGATCGAGCAGAGATCCAAGCCTCTAAGTGGCGTCGAGCTAGGCCGCAGCTTGGCTGTCCGGAAATGGCCATCGCTTTGTGTATACAGGTCCAGTGTTGCTCTAAGTCTTTCGGTGGATTGCAACTGAGTTCGTATGTCATTGAAGACTGCTAGCTCGCCTGGACAGAGAAATCAGTTAAGCTGTTTACATCCATCTTGCTGTGCTTCGTTTTTCGGGACCCCACAAAACACATGCAAATTTTCGCGCAGACCAGTGCATGATCTGAGTCAACGAAGGTGGACCAAAAGGACCATCAGCCTAGTACATGCCACGCCATCTGAATCTGACTGCAATGTGATCAATTTAAGACCACAGTTGTGTTGGCGAAGGGGGACGCAACGTTACTGAACGCTTCTTTGTACACATGAAGTTAGTACTCGGGCAAAACTTATGGTTGTCTTCGCACAATGTGAGAAGCCTCTTCGTTATCAGATCGGTCCTCATCGAGCGCGTAGTATCCACCAAGGTGGCGTTTGTATGGTAACAGGCGGCCAACCCGTGCATTCAAATCCCCGGCAAAGACAACGAAATCTGACTTTTTAGCATTAGTCAAGAGCTGATGTAGCTCCGGATAGAAGTTGTCCTTGACAGAGCCACTACTGCAGTCATTTGGAGCGTATGTGGAGATCACAAACAAATTGTGTCTCTATTCGCTGCGCTTGATGATTTTACGTGAACCCCAAAGCCAAACTGCACACAGTCGGCTGTTTCTTGAGAACCAGTCCAGTAGTGCCGTCTCTGCCTTGCCAATTAGTGCTATAACTACACCAGCCAAACCCGCTGAGGCTACTTCTGAATCTCCAGAAAGACACAGGTGATATCTGGCTTCGTGATCAGTGGAGGATGTCAATTTAAGAAGTACTGGGGTCTTGCAATCGGATCCGCTGTCTCGCTCAGAAGCCGAATGTGAGATCGGACTGCTGAACTTGAACGAGATCGTGGGACCAGATGATCTTCATCCGGCCATCTTCACATTCAGGTGACCTGCTTTTGTTGATGATTTACACGACTTATTAGTGAAACTGTGGGGTGCAGGAAGCTTTCCCGTCTGTCCAGAGCTGCTGCCTTATTGTCCCAATTTTTAGGGAGGCTTACGATCGGAATGCAACAACCATAGAGGAACTAGTTTGATCCCCATCGCCTCCAAATTGCTTGCTTCTGTCGTCCTTCACAGACTGACTGGCACTCGGGAAAGCCAGATTGGTGAGGAGCAAGCCGGGTTTCGTTGAGGTCTGGGCTGCATCGATCACATCTTCACCTTGCGTCAGTTGTTGGGGCACCGTCACTTATATTGGCAGCCGACCGTAGTCGTGTTGCTCGACATCAAAGGTGTCTTCGATTCGGTTGATGGATGTTCCCTTTGCGACTTTCTGTTAAGGAAAGGTGTGCCCGAGAAATACGTAAACATTATCCGAGCGCTATACGTGCGTAGCTCGGGCAGAGTGAGGGTTTGCAGCAAGGTGTCGCCACCCTTCAATATCTCCAGCGGTGTAAGACAGGGATGACCGTTGTTTTCTTTCCTCTTCATCTTCGCTATTGACGAAGTCATAGAAATCGCCTTCACTGGACATGATATAGAAAGTTTGGAGTTGCTCCCAGGTGAACGACTTTTTAACCCGGAGTATGCTGACGACATTGCCATTATTTGTGACAGCTCACAAACGTGCCAAGCTGCACTGGACATATTAGCACTGGCTATCACCCGTTTCGGACTTTGTTTTGCACCCTCTAAGGGACCGGCTCCTGTGCTGACACCTGATGAGGATCGGGTAGAAGTACTTCAGAAATCCAACTACATAGGTAGTTGTCTCAGCACTAATGAAATCGAAGACAAGGTCATGAATTGTATAGGAAATCTCGAGGGGACGTTTCCTACCTTCTCTACCTATGTCACCCACACACCCCTTTCTACCTGAAGGGTATTGTTTATAGTGCAGCTGTACGGTAGATCGGCAAACATAAAGAGACAAGTTACGTTCCACCGCCGCTGGCTTAGCAGTTTGGATCATATCTGGTGGAAACACCGCGTGAACCATGAGCGCTCAGCACCTTTATGTTACGCACCAGGCTCCGATAGCTGTGCCACGTGTTGCGTATGTCAGCACACCGATTTCCGTGATGTGCGTTGTTTGCGCACCGCGGGTGTGGATTGAAGAGGTATGGAGGTCAACCGATGACTTGGTGAAGATGAATGAAGGCCGTCACTTCGAACTTGACGTCATTTAGTGTCTCCGGACTGCTGGATACAGTTTTTGACATGAGCGAGACCCGATCTCAGTGGCTTTCGTGTTCTGAGTTCTTTTGTCCCTCCCGCTTAGCCTCCCTTTCGAACTACGATCTCATTTCCTAGGCATAAAATTATTCTTTTTTGCAGCACTGTAACCGGCTGCTACTCCATAACGGTGCCGATCTGCTACTGGTGGCTCAACTAGCGTGCTTTTGTTGCATTTTTATGTGTATCCATTTTCTAATATATTGCGGCACAATAGCCGAGCTGTTTTCAACCTCTATTTGTTGTGTATAGTGATGATAATGACCGCGACGAAGTATCATAATAAGTTCAACATTAACCTCAACATAAGGTTTAACTCAGCGGAACCTCCTGAAGCAGCCGGCGAAGCGGGCTAATCTACACGGTACTACCCAGTCAAGCATGAAAAGTGTCTTCCTTTAGGCTGTGAGAGGGATTTGGTGATCTGGACATTCAAAGTACATCTATTCCTCTCTTAGCCGCCGTTGCTCTCTTTTAGACTGCCTCAGTGATGTCCAATAGCTCAGCTGCGTTCTGCCTCTGCGGCACTTTGAACTCAGTAGATGGGATCTTTTAAGTTACGAGGTTGTATGTGAAGTCGTCTTGCGTCAACCAGCGTTCGCTGTTATAATATTAACATAACAATACCAATATGTGTATTTGTCATGATCCGAGAAACTGTCGCCGCACAAAGTAATCATGCTCTTGCATGGGCGATATGCATGTGTGCAATATTGGGACACGCGATTCATGTTGGTGGATGGCTGAGGCGAAACCCAAGTTTGTAAACGTGGATGTCTAGACGTTCTTGAGCCCCTCTTGGAATAGTTCATCGAGTGAATGTGAATATATTCATTACTGTATTCAGGTCACCGTAGCTTGCGCACGTGTTAGTGTTGCCACATGACACGTGAGTGGCAGTTTTTATTACACAGATAGTTATATGTGACTGGAAGGAAATTGGGGCGCCTTCTTGTTCTGACCTTTGGTTGAGTTATTTTGCAGATTGAATGTAGGCAGATCGGAGCAGGTCTCTTTTGTAACAGTTTTTAAAGCAGCATCCAAAGTGTCTCGAGTGGTAGTTTGTTGCAACGCTGTTGATTGATTTAAATATCTCATTCTACACTAGCTTTTGATGACGACGTTCCGTCTGCAATCGTGTTAGCATCATTAGTGCTAAAGTATTTACTGCTGGTTATTTGACTTATCTTCGTAACTTTATCCACCCTTAAAGATCAACAGGCGGTACTCGCAGTTGAAATGAAGCACCTTCGTTCTGAACTTGAGCGGGCGTGTCAACGCGAAGCAGCCGCCCGTCGTGAAGCAGACCATCTTGCTGCTGGTGTGAGGGATCGCGATAAACTGACCGAGGAAGTGCGTCAACTGAGTGCGCAAATTGAGCTGCGAGCGTCAGAGTTGGCTTGTATCCAAAATCAAGGCAAGCCTGCAAAGTGTGCATCTCTCTTTCCGATCTTATTATTAATTCCATGTTGCTTCTGATCTACTGTCTTGTAATCTGTGTTTCGTTGTCTCACGTGGTACCGATGCGCACCGTAACCACCATGACTGGCGACTTATTTTTCTCAATGTTATTTAGCTGACAGAGTGCTGCTCTTTCAGCAGTTTCGGAGTACCTCATTTGTCACAGCTTGATATTCTGGATGGAGACACTGGTTGTTGTTTGCTCAGTACTATACACGACGATTGTTCGGGGAGAGACGGTTGTTGCAGGTGAAACAGTGTTGCTCCTCCCAAAACGGACACCCCAGAACCGGTTTCGTCCTCTTTTGGACTCATCTGATAGAGATAGCCTGAGCTGGGGTGGAACTCGGGGCGTAGTAGTTAAAGGCTGACGCCTTGATCACTATGGCTCTAAGACCCTTGTTCATGTGGCCAACAACCCGACTTTATGCGTCGTTATCTAAGTACACAGCCGTTACTCTGAAACACGAAAATGATCCTTTAGACGTTTTCCATCTGTTTTGTTTCCACACTTTTCTTGCATTTCATTCGACCATGATTGCTTTTTACTTATAATGGCTGCACCTGGTTCCCTCGTGTATTTATCGAGGGGTGTTGTCTCAACTGTACATTTCTGACTACCTGTCAGCATTCACGCATTCTGGTTGATTAACTCGCCTACTTGTATGGGTACTTAGTGACAGCTTCATTTCCTGCATTTCAGTTGCACAGAAGAATGATCAAATTGGCGCGTTGCGTTCTCGGTTGGCACAAATGGCAGTTGACGTTGACTCGAAAATCGACAAGTTTGTGAACCTTCCTTGTTCGTTGCATGCGCGTTTGTCCGTAGTGGTTTCTTTTTCAATTTTTCTGTTTGTCTCTCGACTTCCGTTATCTTCCTGGGCACTTGCTTCTTATGATGTATACAACTGTCTTGGTAGATCTTTCAACTGCTCCTTAGTCACATTGCTTCAGGTCTGACCATTTTGTTTTGCGATACGCAGGGTTCTAGTGAAGAACCTCATCATCAGTTATCTTCAGCTGCCTCCTAGTCACCGACAGAATGGTGTTCGCGTCATTGGAAGCCTTTTACAGTTCACTGAAGAAGATTACGCCAAAGTGAGTTAATTCAGAAGTTCAATGTTTACCGCGGCTGTTGCATGATTCGTTGCGAGCATTCCCCTGTTCACTGTTATCTGACGAGTTAACAAAGTCTATGTTTACCTTTACACCATTAACCCAACTCTGCTCGTGGTAATGCGCCTTTTTGCGTGAAGACATTTGCTGATTTGCAAACGGCATTACAGCAAACCCATGTGCCGAATCTGCTTGAAGCGACTTGCTATATAATTAGTTCTTGATACCTCCAAGTTATCTCTCTGCTTGTTCTATTGCTTGTAACCTCCATCTAATTACTTGCTATTTTCATCCACCAACGTTCCACACTCTCCGCGGTGACAAAATTGCGGTTTTTGTTCTCTAACTCGGTTTTCCTAGTGTTAACGTTACGTGGTCCCACTTTAATTGAAGAGTTAAAGAGAACGCTTGATTCATCAGGGGTCACTTTGAAGCACTTGTTGTGTGAGAATGGATTGCAACTGCACAACCTCAAAGTGAGCCGCAATGCACGCTGGAGTGAATCTCGGTCACCTCTTTGACTACTGGGACCGAAGCGGATGAGTGTTGCTCGTTCGTAACGCAACACTCCACAATTTGTATCGTAATCAGCTGCACTTGTCAGCCAGGGCTGTTATTCCAACCCTAATCGTTGTGATTTCCCGGATTGAAATCGCAAAATACGTACTTTATTTAACCTAATCTTTAGGATTTATATGTATGCTGACGACTACTTCGTGGGAACAAACGAAGCTGGAATCTCAGCTTGGACTTGGTTATAGAAGTTGATCTTAAGACTCAGTCCAGCAACCCAACGTTCTTTTGCCAACAATATCGTAGGACCGCGTGGTAGTACAGCCCACCATCATTGTGACGTGACCGAATATGTTAAGCACTGCACGCCACTACGCGTAGAGAGATAGCAGGTCTCGAACTCGGGACCATCGGAATGTCAGTTGCGACCCCTACCCCTTTAGCCACCGGGTAATGACGGGCAACGGGTACAACGATTAATGACTGATTGAAGGGTCATTTTGAAATAATCGTTATGTGATTGGATTGTGATACGCTATCTCTGTGGGCCGTGACTCGCATTGAATGGAACCTTGGCCAAATCGATCACTGGGACCATGGATGGTGTTCACCACGTGCTGCGGATATTGGATTTCTGCTTTCTGTTGATCATCTCGGTTTACGATGCGTCAGTCGTTTGCGACTGGACCATTGCGTGTGGCAATCGGCTCTAGGCAAAGGAAAGTCTGATCTTTCTGTTTCACCATTTGACTGAACTACTGTGCTGAACCACATCGATCTTGTCCCATGCACCAACCATAACCGCTTATTTCATGTCTAGTTGTTTATCCTGATCGTGCTTTGCTGGAGGATATCTCGAAGTGGCTGTATGCCATGGGGAACCCGGCTACAATAGTCTCATGCGTTTAGCATGCATTTGACGCGGAGCAATCGAATTCAGTGGTCACCCTGCATTCAGTCTTCCATTGTAATTCTGCGATCAACACAGTTTATGGCGTCTGAATAATTATTTGATATTTAATGCCTCGATTGGTTCAGTCTGAGCACGGAGATTGGTTCGGGTGGTACGTCCTAGGATGCCGTCGGATTGACTGAGTTACTTGGTGGACATAGAGACACCACGAGCTAGAATAGTCATGTCGTTGATGACTGTTCCAGCTCATTCGAAGCACTGTTTTGGGGCCCGTATGACTTAATGAGACAATAATTTAGATGGATCCACCATTTGTTCACTCATTCGCATCGGCTTGCACAACAGACAGAATACTCTGGGTAACATTTCAGTCTGTCCATCGTGCCAAACTTTTTACTTTGGTCACTTGAATCCGCCTGAATCTTTGGGGTTGCTGTCTCTGCAGCAAATAGGATCAGGCATGAGCCGCTGACCCCTTTACCATTGCTACAAAAAGACTCGCAATGCATTATTGATTAGCTTGGGAATTCACCACCGCACTAGTTAATACAAAAAATAAAGTGTCTTCACACTCGTGTTTATCAGATATCACATCCCTTTTTTAAAAATCTGTGGGTGTCTTGTGAAAGTCGTGGAGAAATTGAGTGTTAACAAGGCGCGTAGCTCTAATGCTTATCCTGATGACGACTGGCATATAGGATGAGTGGATATCAATGACCCTAAGCTGGCCATGGATTACTCGCATCAATGATCCCGAGCAGACTCCGATTGCACACGTCGATAATCCCAAGCTGACCATTTAAGGCGCGGCGATAGTCGAAAAAGCGATATATTAAGTGTCCATTCATATTCGTGTACAGCGTAAAAATGACTTGTATGGAAATATTTCAGATCATTCCCCAAGATTTGACTGCTCACTGAACACTTGGACTATCATAATAGTCTTTTGATCTTGAAAGTTTCTTCTGATTCAGTTTATCGATGCCTTGTGTTCGGAGATTGTCATAAACACTCTGTACTGCAACTCCATGGGTTGCTCAAAAATCCACGCGTCACTATCGTTTGAGTTCAAAGCGGCAGTCCAACCTCATTAAATCTTCCTTGTGTCTCCAATTCCACTCAGCTTTGGTCAGAACGACAGTGAATACATTCGCTTGATCATCTTACAAGAAGTGGATCTTTTTTGTTGTCAAAATTGGAGTACGCGGACGAAGCAGTTCTTTTTGTGTCCGGGTCTGGCGATATAAGCCTGTTACGGCCCCGCAGTTCTCACCATTTACTTGAAGTGCAAAGCGTCCTTAGTAGACTCGATGGACACAGCAGCATTTTTACCCATCGCTGAATTATTACTCGAAATGATCGGTCGGTTTAGTTGTCTCTGCAGCTGTATTACCCCCGGCGGTCGCATTACCATTTGCTGAACCTAACGCCATAGACCACTTAGTCTTACCAAACCCACGACTTGGTACTGGCCGATTGATTATGGCGGCATATGTCACAGTATGATTTGGCTACGTAGTCACTGCACATTAAATACAATGAGAGGCTGGTTATGCTTTAACATGGGCACCTTCAAAGTGTTGTTCGCACCTCGTATAAACACGGAATAAATAATTTTGAGATCCGTTATTTTGAGTCTCTAGTTACCCGTTTGACTACCTGCTGAACTCGTAAATATCCCACTAGCTTTTCCATTCCTTGGACACGCTTGCCAGACGACTATTTGTGGATGTATCGCTCTTAATCCGCATGAAGAACCCTATCTGGGAACTGAGCTAGTTCGATTCGCGCCGTTTTCTGTGTGTTTGCCTCGGAGAACGACCACATTGTTGGCTGCTGGGATGTGCGCAGTGGTGAGGTCAGGAGCACTCCTCTTCATTTCTCCCCCCCCCCCCCCGAATAGCTGGATCTCATCACACTCCTGTAGAGCTATGCTATTTTTCTGCTTATATTTCTAACCTTTTTGATCGGTGTTCCCATGGTGATATGAAATAGTGGAACTAGATCCACGGCACTTCTGTCCATGGATTACAGTTGTTTATCTGCACTACACTATCTAACGGCTGGTTCGTTGACCGACTTCACTCACTTTTGCCACGACATTTCGAAGCAAAAACTGTACTGTAAACAACATAATGTGTAGAATTTCCAAGTGTATCCTAGCTCACTATTTTATCCACTTATTCGGTTACTTATTGGCTGCATTTTTTCAGGCCTACCACAAACACGATCCATGCTTCTCCTTTGGTAAACAGTATCCGTTTTCCGTTTGACAAATAGTTCCCTGTTGACTTCCTTCAGGTCGGTTCAGATTTTGGTTCTCCGAAACTTTTCGGCTGGATTCAGAGCGCTATGTCTCGCATCTCAACCGGACCACCGAAAGATGTGACATTCTCTTCAAAATACCCCGATAAGGTCGGTCCATCGGCGTTAATTCACACCTTTTTACAGCAATTTTTGCCTCACCTTTTGCCTTTCTCAAGCTCCCTTTATCCCTATTGATTACTTGAATGCAAATTGTTTAGCTGTTACTGCCTCGATTTGGGATCACTTGGATATTTGCAGATACCGCTTCCATTGTGTTCCACTAGACGGGATAGAGGTCTATACGCCCTAGTTTGGTAGTTAGGTAACTTCATTATCTTCGGAACATTGAGATTAGCCACGATAGTGTCACCTTGGAATAGCCCACTGCGGTTAGCCAGATTTGGTGCTTCTTTGTTCGCTACCAAGCCACCATGTTTTCCGCACGCACAAATGTATCAGCTCGAAGACCTGTTTATTTAAGTCGTCACTTGTAGGCCTTGATAGCGGGTTCTGTCAACGTCCATTCGGTACTCAGTATCCTCGAGTTGATGTCACAGACAGGCACGAACCTACTTGAAACGTTATAGAGTCAGCGTCTCAGTGAGTGTCACACAATCACTACACTGTCGATTACAACAATGAACAATGACTTATGCCGGGTAAAAAAAGCAGTTGCTTGACAACTCCCGCAGGATAATGGGGGTAAAACTACAATTATCAAAAGGTAGGTTAGTTGTCTGTTTGAGCGTTTATCCAGCAGATACGCTGCTGAATAATAGTAGTTTAAGTGGGAATTGAATGCGAACGACGAAGCAACATGGGGCAGTTATAGTTGATATGCTCCGTGGGAGAAGTAAAAACAAGAAAACACTTCTGTACCGACTCCTCAGGTTTAGGTGATATATTAATCCGGCTTGAATGGATAATTAATGTATTCCGAAGTAGCACAGTTTAGGCGACGAGGTGATGGGGGCCAAGGGGCAAGATCCAATCTGTTTTTTAGAATATCCTTGGTGGGGGAGGAAACGACTAAATGTGGTAGAGTTCCAAAGTTGGCAAACCCGAAGAGAAAAATAATTCTGCCGGTATTTCAGATGGCTATACTGTTCACTCGATTCCATAGTAGCACAGTTTAGGCAACGTAGTGATGGGGGCCAAGGGCAAGATCCAGTCGTTTTTTTTGCAAATATCCAATGTGGGGAGGAAACAACGAAGTTTGGGAGAGAGTTCCAGGGTTGGCAAACCTCGTAGATTGGGTATAAAGATCTGCTGATATTATAGTTATGGGTAACCTGGAAGGTCCGGACTCTTGAATCTTCCTGTGCAAACATCAGGTCATTCTTCAGATCCAGGTTCCATGACCGTAGACAATTATATCATAAACGCTTGCCTAAGATAAAATTACATCCCTTCGTAATCATGGCTAACAGTGATCTTCAGGTCGATACTGGCTTGCACATTTGACTGATCTGCGTTTGTAACATTCTCCTCTCCTCTATTTACCTCTTTAGCATCACCATCCTTCTGTCATTCCATGTGGATTCGAATGTGAGACGCTCCCACACCAGTCTACAGATTAGTTCACTGTGACACCGGCCCCTATTGCAGCCATGTAAGCATACGCACCGGAATGAGGTGACGTGATGTATTGCTTTCGGGCTCTGGTCATCTTTGATTGTTTCCTTCAACTGAGCATTAGCGAAAGTAGTGCCGTCAGTCTTTTACTCGAATATCTTGCTCTTAGGGCACATACCAAAACAGATGCGGGTAGAATTCACTGCAACTAGACTTTAGCTTGAAAGCCCACTGAACTTCACGTTTGCAGTTGGAGCTGAAATAATAGTTATTCCTGCAGACCTTGGCTAATCTTCGTAAAGAAAATTAGCACCAAGAAATCCGATCGGCAGTCTGCATAGCCTTAGGCATACGACAGTATTCGAGCTCATCCACAACGGCAATCCTCTCACAAATCTACAACCTGGTCCTGCTTCAATGGTTGCTTTCTTTCAAGTAAATTGTAATATATTGCGTACAGCATGGTGCATAAGAAAAGTAACGCATCCCTGTTGATGCTTCGTTCACCCTTGCGCCTTGCACTTCTCCAGATCCATGATCAACTAAGGTGAATCCATCAAAATCGACACCATTACAGTTCGCCGGTTACAATCTCGCGCGTGTGCCTGGTCAACTACACAGACTGAGGTTAGTGCATGCAGCTGCTCTGCAATCGTTGCAACCGAATACAGCCCGGATTTTGTCAAAGATAAGTACTGCCACGTAGTGCTAGCAGTTCAGACACAGTTCCAATTGCCAGCTATACGTTTGTGCAAGCCGGCCAACTGAGATCCTCATAATCTGAATTGAGATATGTACATGTGAGTATTTTCAGGCGTAACAACTGGTGAGCATTTGTTGCAGCTGTGCGCCAAACATTGGCTGCTTGATGGCCCCCGGACCACTGGTCAGCGATGGATCAAAATAAATCACATCGTTGTAGCCTTCAGACCGCTTGGTTTCATTCCAGACCGGCGCTCGTGTTTGAGCACGTGCCTCGAATGTGACCAGATCCTAATTCGCTGCTGATGCTTCTTAACTTTCCCCAGGGGACGTGGTAAATGACTCTCTCGACCGATGATCGGTAAACGTCTGTCTCATGGTTAGACAATCCCACTAGGATGTCCTGCGCACCATGTCCCACTTGTGGCACAATAGCGGAGGTGTTTCCCCACTAGCTAACGTGTATAAGGAATGAATGAATGTCCCACTTACCCGTATCGACATTCTTCGTTGCGGCATCCCCAGCCACCGTGGTCCTACGACCTACATACCCATGGGGTCGCTGGCCCTGTTGTGTTTCTGAACGATAATTCATGCCGGCCCGTTGGCTAAAGGCAGCGAGCTTATCTTGTAATCTGAGGGCGCGTGTTCGAGCCTGTGTATGGGCAGGGCGACCTTCACAATATCCTTAGCCCACGTGCGACAGTGGTTGCGCGGCAGCGGAGCCTGGATACTGCGTAACGGCGTACTCATGACATCTTCTTGTCTTTGATAATTCACCTTGGGACGCGAGACAAACGAAGTCAGCGAGGTGGCAGAAGTCCGGCAGATCTAGCAAATGAAAGTAGCAGAAGCGTTAGTCAACTACGGACCATCATGGAATTTCAGGTCAGGTCACAATATTCTTCACCTTCACTCCACTCATGTTCGTTAGTTGGAGCATTTTTGGGAATAGCCGTCTTCCCACATGTGTAACAAATCGAACTACGGCCACTTAAATTAGAGCACCGGTCAAATCTGAGGTTCCGACCGTCATCGCACCTAACTCCCTACTAGCACTAATGTTCGTGAGGCTCGCTTTAGCTAGATGAGACTAGGCCGAAAAAGAGCGTAAACGCTTGTTTGATTATTTCAACGACCGATTAAGCTACGCTGTGTAGCACTTCTTCGTTATCCACTCATGCCGGACAGGGGAACAGTTGCTAATCCCAACGTTCTCTTTCCATGGAATTACGATATAACGGTGTCCTCTTCCTCTGGAGCTCAGCTGAGGTATAAATGTTTGCTTTTTATGAGTTCAGTTCGATTGGCATAACCCACGGCACCATGAATTCACTTGGAAAGTGGTTGTGCGCAACACCTGGTTTGCGCTAATTTAGTATTTAAGTATCACGTCAGTCACTTTACATTGTGTTCACGTTTTTTCATTTGGACTTCTTCCCATAGTTTATGGCTGCATGGCGACTAAGCGCCTGCAGGTATTGCTTTGCAATTCTATAGGTGAGTACAATATAGTTAGTTGTACGAGGCTGACGATATATATATATATATATATATATATATATATATATATATATATATATATATGTTAGTTCGTAGGGAACTGTGATGTCATGACTTGTGGATGTGTACCGCAACACTCACGCAAACAGCTTGTGCATACCTTATTTAGCATTGATCTGCAGGGAGTCTCTTGTCTCAGCAAGTTCCGTTCTCTCCGAAATAAATTGTATGCACTCGAAGAGGTGGATTTTTGACATTTACACCATCGCATTAATCTAGGAACATAGTGGGTTGTATATGTGTTGTTATTCCAGCAACCGCTTATACGGCACCCTGATAGCTTTCATGTGAATGTGGTGAATAAGGTAACCTGATTTTGCGATACGCCGAGACGCGATTGATTGAGTAGAGGCAACTGTGCTATGGGTGAAAACTTGGAGCATAATACATGTGTCAATCTGCCTACTAACAGTTGTCCTGTTCTCCGAGATGGGTGTTTCTGTTGTAGAGGTTCCGTTGCCAAGCTGACTAACATCATCAGTGCGGCTATCCAGTCTTGATTTGTGGAGTCTCGTAAGCCACTACCAGACTGCAGGTACGTGTATAATCAATAACTTCCAGTCTCTTGGTAAACCGATGTATTTGATTAATACCAAATATGGATGCAGCTTCTCACTTGATGAGAAATACACATATTCTTATCATTAATATTATTACATATACTTTATCGATTGCACCGTCGAGGCGTAATCTTTATGAAGTTGTCCATAGAAAACAAGAGAGCAATATGAGCAATGAGGAAGAAGACGTTACAAAATTAAATTCTAGAGCGAGTGATCCGCTCAGCACCATTATATCACGCAGCAGGCTCCGATGGCTGGGGTACTTGTTGCGCATGCCAGCTCACCGACTCCCGCGACGTGCGTTGTTTGCGCGCCCGGAGTCTGGATGGAAATGAAGAAGGGGAGGCTAAGCCATGACTTGGTCAAGAGGATTGAAAACTCTCACTTCGAAGTTGGCGTCGGTTTGTGCATCCCGACTGCCGGGTTGCGGTCCGAAGGACGATGAACACGTTTGTTTGGATACACTCGCTTACATGACTAGGAGCAGGCTCCAATGGCGTCTGTGTTGTGAGTTTCTTTGTCCATCGGCTCTCTTAGGTTCCCCCTCCACTCACGGTCTCGTAGCAAATTAATAATATGATATTTAACATTACATTACTTGATTTTCTGAATTTTTGTACTGTCGTTTTTCGTATCTTATCTTTTTGTATTGCGGCACATTAGCGGAGGCGTGTATTGATGAGGATGATGACTACACTAAAGCAAACATAAAATATTATATAGTTAAGTACTTCAATGAAAAGTTAAAATATCAAATAAAACATTAAACTGGAAGTACATCAAGGCGATTTTCTGAATTCATGAAACGTTCCACAGGTGTGTGTGGGGGAGGGGGCTAAGGTAGATTTTTGAACAGACACATGACGGTGAGTGAACCGAACATGATACGGCTTCACACGGAATGGGAACCATTTGTAATAGACAGCAACTTATTAGAAAGAAGAAAAGCGCCATGTTTACACTAGTGTCATGAGCACGGGATCTGAATGATGACTATCTTACCACTGTGCTGTTCGGCGCATAACCGTTCAATTTTTGGATCTCTGGAGATGTTACGCTGACGATTTCCGCTTATTGCCAACCCGTATGGCTCAGTACATATGTTTATCAGAATGGCCCGCATTTGTTCAAGATGCAAGCGACATTCGCTTTTCCAACTTCGGTCTCGCTACATAACGGGATGAATGAATATGGAATAGAGACACATGCATCGCATCCGGACAAGCCCGATGCAAACAAAATTCATTTTAATAAAGTGAGATGCTTGGGCATGCTTCCATTCGTTCATCAGCTTTACTAGCGAACACAAAGCTCAACAACATAATTTTGTTTAAATTTCCAGCATTTATCTTCAAGTCAAGTCAAAATAGGTTTCATAGACCTAAATAGGTGCATTATCAGCGTTTACATTATCACTGCGCATACATTAAATGGATGGGACCAGTTAAGAATACATAAACACAGATAGAAGTATTAAATAGTCATAGGTATGTGAATGTCATTCTAGTAATCGCGTGCGCAAAGCATTTGTAACTTTCATAGGATCGATAAGAAATCGTGACAAATAAGGCAAGTGCAAGTGAATAAAATCCTAAATTTTGAGCGTGTGTGAGACA